AGAATGGGGCGGGGTGATGGAAATGGGGCGGGGTGATGGAAAGAGGGAGAATGGGGCGGGGTGATGGAAAGCGGGAGAATGGGGCGGGGTGATGGAAAGCGGGAGAATGGGGCGGGGTGATGGAAAGCGGGAGAATGGGGTGGGGCGATGGAAAGCGGGAGAATGGGGCGGGGCGATGGAATGCGGGAGAATGGGGCGGGGTGATGGAAAGCGGGAGAATGGGGCGGGGTGATAGAAAACGGGAGATTGGGGCGGGGTGATGGAAAGCGGGAGAATGGGTCGGGGTGATGGAAAGCGGGAGAATGGGGCGGGGTGATGGAAAGCGGGAGAATGGGGCGGGCTGATGGAAAGCGGGAGAATGGGGCGGGGTGATGGAAAGCGGGAGAATGGGGCGGGGTGATGGAAAGCAGGAGAATGGGGCGGGGTGATGGGAAGCGGGAGAATGGGGCGGGGTGATGGAAGGAGGGAGAATGGGGTGGGGTGATGGAAAGCGGGAGAATGGGGCGGGGTGATGGAAAGCGGAAGAATGGGGCGGGGTGATGGAAGGAGGGAGAATGGGGCGGGGTGATGGAAAGCGGGAGAATGGGGCGGGGTGATGGAAAGCGAGAGAATGGGGCGGGGTGATGGAAAGCGGGAGAATGGGGCGGGGTGATGGAAAGCGGGAGAATGGGGCGGGGTGATGAAAGGAGGGAGAATGGGGCGGGGTGATGGAAAGCGGGAGAATGGGGCGGGGTGATGGAAAGCGGGAGAATGGGGCAGGGTGATGGAAGGAGGGAGAATGGGGCGGGGTGATGGAAGGAGGGAGAATGGGGCGGGGTGATGGAAAGCGGGAGAATGGGGCGGGTTGATGGAAAGCGGGAGAATGGGGCGGGGTGATGGAAAGCGGGAGAATGGGGCGGGGTGATGGAAAGCGGGAGAATGTAGCGGGGTGGTGGAAAGCGGGAGAATGTAGCGGGGTGATGGAAAGCGGGAGAATGGGGCGGGGTGATGGAAAGCGGGAGAATGGGGCGGGGTGATGGAAAGCGGGAGAATGGGGCGGGGTGATGGAAAGCGGGAGAATGGGGCGGGGTGATGGAAAGCGGGAGAATGGGGTGGGGCGATGGAAAGCGGGAGAATGGGGCGGGGCGATGGAATGCGGGAGAATGGGGCGGGGTGATAGAAAACGGGAGATTGGGGCGGGGTGATGGAAAGCGGGAGAATGGGTCGGGGTGATGGAAAGCGGGAGAATGGGGCGGGGTGATGGAAAGCGGGAGAATGGGGCGGGCTGATGGAAAGCGGGAGAATGGGGCGGGGTGATGGAAAGCGGGAGAATGGGGCGGGGTGATGGAAAGCGGGAGAATGGGGCAGGGTGATGGAAAGAGGGAGAATGGGGCGGGGTGATGGAAGGAGGGAGAATGGGGCGGGGTGATGGAAAGCGGGAGAATGGGGCGGGGTGATGGAAAGCGGGAGAATGGGGCGGGGTGATGGAAAGCGGGAGAATGGGGCGGGGTGATGGAAAGCGGGAGAATGGGGCGGGGTGATGGAAAGCAGGAGAATGGGGCGGGGTGATGGAAAGCGAGAGAATGGGGCGGGGTGATGGAAGGAGGGAGAATGGGGCGGAGTGATGGAAGGAGGGAGAATGGGGCGGGGTGATGGAAAGCGGGAGAATGGGGCGGGGTGATGGAAAGCGGGAGAATGGGTCGGGGTGATGGAAGGAGGGAGAATGGGTCGGGGTGATGGAAAGCGGGAGAATGGGGCGGAGTGATGGAAGGAGGGAGAATGGGGCGGGGTGATGGAAAGCGGGAGAATGGGGCGGGGTGATGGAAAGCGGGAGAATGGGGCGGGGTGATGGAAAGCGGGAGAATGGGGCGGGGTGATGGAAAGCAGGAGAATGGGGCGGGGTGATGGAAAGCGGGAGAATGGGGCGGGGTGATGGAAAGCGGGAGAATAAGGCGGGGTGATAGAAGGAGGGAGAATGGGGCGGGGTGATGGAAAGCGGGAGAATGGGGCGGGGTGATGGAAAGCGGGAAAATGGGGCGGGGTGATGGAACGCGGGAGAATGGGGCGGGGTGATAAAAAGCGGGAGAATGGGGCAGGGTGATGGAAAGCGGGAGAATGGGGCGGGGTGATGGAAAGCGGGAGAATGGGGCAGGGTGATGGAAGGAGGGAGAATGGGGCGGGGTGATGGAAGGAGGGAGAATGGGGCGGGGTGATGGAAAGCGGGAGAATGGGGCGGGGTGATGGAAAGCGGGAGAATGGGGCGGGGTGATGGAAAGCGGGAGAATGGGGCGGGGTGATGGAAAGCAGGAGAATGGGGCGGGGTGATGGAAAGCGGGAGAATGGGGCGGGGTGATGGAAAGCGAGAGAATGGGGCGGGGTGATGGAAAGCGGGAGAATGGGGCGGGGTGATGGAAAGCGGGAGAGTGGGCCGGGGTGATGGAAAGCGGGAGAATGGGGCGGGGTGATGGAAATGGGGCGGGGTGATGGAAAGAGGGAGAATGGGGCGGGGTGATGGAAAGCGGGAGAATGGGGCGGGGTGATGGAAAGCGGGAGAATGGGGCGGGGCGATGGAAAGCGGGAGAATGGGGCGGGCTGATGGAAAGCGGGAGAATGGGGCGGGGTGATGGAAAGCGGGAGAATGGGGCGGGGTGATGGAAAGCGGGAGAATGGGGCGGGGTGATGGGAAGCGGGAGAATGGGGCGGGGTGATGGAAGGAGGGAGAATGGGGCGGGGTGATGGAAAGCGGGAGAATGGGGCGGGGTGATGGAATGCGGAAGAATGGGGCGGGGTGATGGAAGGCGGGAGAATGGGGCGGGGTGATGGAAAGCGGGAGAATGGGGCGGGGTGATGGAATGCGGAAGAATGGGGCGGGGTGATGGAAGGCGGGAGAATGGGGCGGGGTGATGGAAAGCGGGAGAATGGGGCGGGGTGATGGAAAGCGAGAGAATGGGGCGGGGTGATGGAAAGCGGGAGAATGGGGCGGGGTGATGGAAAGCGGGAGAATGGGGCGGGGTGATGAAAGGAGGGAGAATGGGGCGGGGTGATGGAAAGCGGGAGAATGGGGCGGGGTGATGGAAAGCGGGAGAATGGGGCAGGGTGATGGAAGGAGGGAGAATGGGGCGGGGTGATGGAAGGAGGGAGAATGGGGCGGGGTGATGGAAAGCGGGAGAATGGGGCGGGTTGATGGAAAGCGGGAGAATGGGGCGGGGTGATGGAAAGCGGGAGAATGGGGCAGGGTGATGGAAGGAGGGAGAATGGGGCGGGGTGATGGAAGGAGGGAGAATGGGGCGGGGTGATGGAAAGCGGGAGAATGGGGCGGGTTGATGGAAAGCGGGAGAATGGGGCGGGGTGATGGAAAGCGGGAGAATGGGGCGGGGTGATGGAAAGCGGGAGAATGGGGCGGGGTGATGGAAAGCGGGAGAATGGGGCAGGGTGATGGAAAGAGGGAGAATGGGGCGGGGTGATGGAAGGAGGGAGAATGGGGCGGGGTGATGGAAAGCGGGAGAATGGGGCGGGGTGATGGAAAGCGGGAGAATGGGGCGGGGTGATGGAAAGCGGGAGAATGGGGCGGGGTGATGGAAAGCGGGAGAATGGGGCGGGGTGATGGAAAGCGGGAGAATGGGGCGCGGTGATGGAAAGCGGGAGAATGGGGCGGGGTGATGGAAAGCGGGAGAATGGGGCGGGGTGACGGAAAGCGGGAGAATGGGGCGGGGTGATGGAAAACGGGAGAATGGGGCGGGGTGATGGAAAGCGGGAGAATGAAGCGGGGTGATGGAAAGCGGGAGAATGGGGCGGGGTGATGGAAAGCGGGAGAATGGGGAAGGTGATGGAAAGCGGGAGATTGGGGCGGGGTGATGGAAAGCGGGAGAATGGGGCGGGGTGATGGAAAGCGGGAGAATGGGGCGGGGTGATGGAAAGCGGGAGAATGGGGCGGGGTGATGGAAAGCGGGAGAACGGAACCGCTCGTTTCGAGCGTTTTTCTTTCGCCGGGTCACGTGGTTGCGCTTGTCTGTTCCTATTACAAAGTCAACAACGGCGTGGGAGGGTTGCCAGCATCATCGGTCATCGGCGCTCGCGAATGAAGAGCGCCCGCTGCACTTCCTGCACATTTGCGTATCCTTCCGTATTTTTAGGCTGGAAGCGCTTGTTCCGGGTGTTTTTCTTCTGCCGGGTCACGTGGCTGCGCTTGTCTGGGCCTATTACCAAGCCAGCAACGGGGTGGGAGGGTTTCGAGCATCATCGGTCATCGGCGCTCGTGAATAAAAGAGCGCCCGCTGCACTTCCTACACATGTGCGGATCCTTTCGCGTTTTGGGGGTGGAAGCGCTCGTTCCGAGCGTTTTTCTTCCGCCAGGTCAAGTGGTTGCGCTTGTCTGGGCCTATTACCAAGCCAGGAAGGGTGTGGGAGGGTTGCCAGCATCATCGGTCATCGGCGCTCGCGAATGAAGAGCCCCCGCTGCACTTCCTGCACATGTGCGGATCCTTCCGCTTGCGAACTTCCAACGCGAACCTCCAGTGCGAACTTCCTGCGAGAACTTTCAATGCTAACTTCCAACGCAAACTTCCAATGCGAAGTTCCAGCGGGAATTTCCAGCGTGAACTTCCAACACGAACTTCGAAGAGGAGAGGAGATGGAGGGGGTGGAAACGGGATGACCCTAAAGTGATTTGTCCCAACACAATATAAACGAGTTTCCAATATTGTGCAAAACTTTATATTGGATTCCATATCCTCAAAATGAGTACTAGGCTACGTACTTGAAGAAGTACAAATAAATGGCGCAATGGCTGCTTATGCTTTCCATACATGTGGGAAGATTCGAAAGTACTGCAGTTATTGACGTCTTAGCATTTCGTACACTGATGGGCTGCTTATTCAGAATAATGCGAGGCAACCACCCTCTCACCTCCCCAGCAGTCCCCAAGACCACATCTCGAGACACCAACCGTGCCGTGCCTACAAGGGAAAGAGGTCTTCAAGAGGGTAGTCAGACCAGGTCCGTGAGACCACCATCCTAGTGTAATGGAGGCCGAGCGGCCAACAGGTGAAGAGGAGGGGCCTGATAAGATGGGTACCGGAGGTGACGCGTGCGAGGTGCAGGAGGAAGCGGATGTTGAAGAAGCGGGTGTTGAAGAAGCGGGTGTTGAAGAAGCGGGTGTTGACGACTATGGAGGGAGTGGAGGCAAGAAGACAGGCTCGCTGGCTCCGTCTCTCCTCGTGCTTCACCCGTCAGGCTCTCCTGTCTTTACCTCCGCGGGTGCCGCTGTCCGAGGCTTCGATATTAGGTAAATTATGTCAAGTTATAGCACCAGATCGTTAGGGCCTGATAGCCTCGAGGCCATGGTATTGTGCTGACAGATTCGGAGTGGCCCTAAGGTTGCTAAATTCTTAAGCTTTCACATTTTCGTTTATTCAGTTCGGGTTCGGCGGTTTCGTTCAAGAGCAGCGACGGTGCGGAGCAGGCAGTGTCGCATGGCGACACCGTGCGAGCCATTTGCGTGGACCCCACCGGCCGTGTCATGGCGACGGCGGGCGACGACAAGATCGTCAATCTCTGGGTCAGGAAGGAGCAGTCTCCGTCAAACAGCTGGATCTGCTGCCATAAGGAGTAAGTGGAGGTCTTGAAATCGGGTTTGGAAGGCTTCTGTACCGTACATACATTCTCGGTGTGCGTTGTTCCGGATGATCTAGGCTTTCATAACAAAAGCTGATGTCATCCCTTTTATTTTCTTTTGTGCGCGTGCGTGTGCGTGTGTTTGTTTGTTTGTTTTGTTTTTTCCATGTGCTGCGTGCGGGCGTCTTATTTCCTCAGGAAGGTGTCGAAGCGAGTGAGCGCCATGGGGTTCAGCAGCGACGGTCGCTGGCTGCTCTTCGCCGACAAGTTCGGCGTCGTTCACGCTCTCGCCGTGCCGTCGCCGACCGACCTCGCTGCTCAGAGCGGAGAAGGAGGCGAAGGCAAGCGAGCGGTGGAGACAGCGAAGCAGCTGCTGGGCCACTGCTGCAGCATCATCACCTGCCTCGTACGTTTATATAATTTCGGGCATATTAGCCAAGCGTATTTCTCCATGCGTAATTCGTCCACCTGCTAGACCCCTCAGTTCCGTTCTTCCTGCGAATTTCCGTTGGAATCAGAAGGTTTTTTTTGCTTCCGACTTACCGTTGCAGGCGATGTCGCACGGCAATCGCTTCATTGCTACTGGCGATCGGGACGGAAAGATTCGTGTAGGTGCGTTGTGGTACCTTCTGCTGGTCCAGGGCTTGCATGGGTTGCTGCAGTGCAGTAGATTCCAGTCTTCTGTTACCTGCTTCGTTTCTGGTAGATCTCCCTGCAGTTTTTTTACAACTTGCATTCTCTGGCCATGATACCAGGTTACATCCTAATTCTCTGTTTCTTTTTCAATCTCCCAGCATAACTATCGGACTTACCACTGTTTCTCTTGGGCAGGTGTCCGTGTTCCCCGACCATCCTTTGGAAGGCGCTCATGAGATTCAGAGCTTCTGCCTTGGACATACAGGGTACGGTACCATGGCATTTGTGTTTCTACCCGAAGCATTGTTCATTTACATTTGTAATTTCTCATTGTCTTCTCTGTATTCTCCCAGAATCTCCATTGGTACGCTGCTATCACCCGCTCGTTCCCTTATCTAATCCCATGTCCGTGTCTTATTGCTTTCACCCTTCCACTCGCCAGGTTCCTGACAGCTCTAGCCTTTGTTGGCGAGCCGGCACCAGCCAAGCACGGCGAGACCGACGGCGTCGTTGCGGCCGGGGATGGTTCGCAGCAGCTGCTTCTGTCCGCCGCGGCTGACGCAACGGTGAGTGCGTATTTTCGCCTTTCCCGTCCCCCGCTTTCGCCTCTGATGTTGCCGATCTTCGGCTTTCTCGACGTGTAGTTCCTGCCTCTTCGACTTTCGAACCCTGATTTTATTGGCGTGGCTTTCTCAACGTGTCGTTCTCGTCCCACCGTTGTCACAGGTGCGCCTGTGGGACCCTTCAGACGGCCGCTGCCTCCAGGTGCTGCGCATGCCGCCTCCGCCATCGCCTGCGCAGGTGGAAGGGCCTTCCCCCATGGCAGTGGACTCCGCGGGTGGCGGAGAACAAGCGGAAGCGGAGGCGGGAGGCACGGCGGAGACCGAGGGCGTAGCTAATCCTGAAGAAGATGCGGGGGGGAGCAGGGGTGGGAAGATAGGATCAACAGCGGATGGTTCGTCGCTGGTAGCTGTCGCGGTCGATCCGAGTGGCTGTTTAATCGCCGGAGCTGTTGCCGGGTAGGTGCTGCGCTATGCGAGCCTGCCAGCATCGTGTGTGTTCAGAGTTCATAAGCAGGACATTCGGGTGATGGTGACTGTCAATTTGTCGTCTGTTCCTTATTGTCGCATGCTCTCCACTAACATCACTTCCCTCTCCCCACCGGTTCCTTCCCCGTTCTCTGCTCTTCTTTTTTCTCTTCAGCTCGCCATGCGTGTCTTTGCTCCGCTTCGACCCTTCGTCTCGCACACTGCAAATTGTTCAGGTGTGTTTCATCTTCAAGTTCCCTTGGTGTTGTTTTTCCTCTGTCATGGAGTCCTTCTGCATCCATGTCCGTCTGTCCGTCCGTCTGTCTGTCTGTCTATCTGTGTAAACAAGTTGCTGAGCCCTCGGCACATCAGTCCGCCGCCTGCGCAGTCCTTGAGAGCGCCTATCCGTGCTGCCTGCGTCTCTCCCCCTCGGGGGCAGAGCCAGGCGCACCCATGGAAGGATTTCGAGTCATAACTGCGCCAAATAAAACCCTCGCAGGCTCGGCGCAGGTCCGGTTGGTCCCTCGCAAGAGGGGCTCCGGGCATGTCGCTGATGTCCGGAGGGAGGCTCGTGCAGATAGAAGCAGACGCGGCTTGCCGCCCATTTGCTCATGGCTAGTCGGGCACGTTGGTTCCCTCGTTCTCCTCCTCCCGTTGCCTTTTCATTAAGGTGGATGTGTGTCTGGAGGGGAGTGAGTGTGCTGGCGTGTTCCCTCTGCTGTGATGCTGTTGGGCTGTGCGTTATTCCCGCTCTGCTTCTCACTTCACGATCCACATGCCCATGCATCCATGCCCTGGTTGCGTGCAGTCAGTGCTGATTCTCTTGCTAATCTGGTTTGTGGCAGAGCTTCCACATCCTGCTGTCACACACTCTCTGATCTCACACACCCTGCTCCTTTGCTCTGCTCTGCACTTCTGTGTTGCAGTGCATCACGCTCAACGATGGAGTGCCAGCCACCAGCCTTTCCTTCGCTTCGGATGGCAAGATTTGGACTGTAGCTGGTGCTGCAGAATCACTTCCCAGCGAGGACAGTGTCATGACCCCAGAAGCTGAGGCGGCAGCTGCTGCCACTGCCGCCCGGATAGCGCTCGCTGCCGTTACTCGTGTTCTAGTCCTGAGCGTGGGCCCTGCAGCTGCCCATGCTGCTGATCAGATTGCTGAAAATGCTGCTGCTGATGCCACTGCATCAGGGGGTGTAGCAGAAGGGGCTTCAGCGGATCTGAAGTATGAAGTGCTGGCTGATGGGGAAGTGCCAGGTGGCAAAGATCTATTGGCTGCGTTACAAGGGTCTGTGTCTGGGGATGTGGCAGCAGTGGCCAGGGAGGCAGCCAAGGGGGCGGTGGATGGGCTGTGGGGAGCAATGAAGAAGAAAGAGTATGGGGAGGATGAGAGGGAGTCCAGAAAGCGCAGGCGCAATGACAAGAAGTTGAAAGCTGTCTAATTGAGCGTTTGTGGTTCTCAATCTGTGATTTAGATGGTTGACCTGGTTTGTTTCTGAAATAATGTGTCTGCTGGAAACCAATGGTACCATGTAGTTGCCGATAACATATATTAGACAATCTGGTAAAAGCGGTACAGTCGCCCAGCATGTCGCCGTACGAAGCAGCAGTGTGGGAGGCTGTCACAGCAGCGGCAGTCTTGCTGACAGCCTGTGCCAGCCATGACGTTTTCTGGCCTTCACTGTTCTTGTCTGCAACACAAACGTGTTCTGTGCTGGGTTTCTCTGTGTGCGAACTGCACATACGTATTGTCTTGTTGCCTCGCCTTTCCACACCACGCCAAGCGCACCTGTTTCTCCCTCTCCCCTCGACAAAAGCACGCATGCGAGCCTCTTGCGCGTCGGAGCAATGGCGTATATCTGACTCCGTTCGCGAGGCCAGCTAATTAGGGACATTTCGACGGATAATCCATGCCGAGTGTCTAGTTCCCGCTGGTGTAGCATTCGAGCTTGCATTGATCAGTCAGGCACGACTATTTCTTTGGTTCGGTAGGTAGGAAGCAGATTTTGCGTTGGGTAGTATTTTCCGCCTGAGATGATCCTGTGCAAGCCGGCGTTAGTGCTAGGTACAGATAAAGTTTTCCGCCAAGTTAGGTCATAGGTTTGAGCTTTTTCGCGTCTTCGACATATTTTATCTGCTTTGCGCGTTCCATTCTCGGCTGGACATCCCAAATACCTATCTAGTATAGTAGAATTATTTAAGAATAAGCTCCGATCGTGTACGGCATTTTCGCCGGTCCATGCGACATGGATACAGCTTAATTCGTAGAAGCGTTATCGCCGGTCACTTACCAACTTAGGATCGTTTTCGTTAGGAGGGAGACGAAGCGGCATGGGGTGCTGCCTGAGTATAGAGGAGCAATCGATCAAAATCACCAAGAACAGCACCAGCAAGAGCAGCAAGAGCAGCCAGCCATGGATGTCAGGTATGCGAGGCGCACGTTATGAATGCCATGGATGTGATGTGAGGTACGCTAGTCGGATAACACTCTAAGTCATGGATGCCGTGCTTATAACGAGAAGCGCACCGTTAGCTACGCATGTCAGATAACCTATCACATCAAGAAATCACGCATTGTATGCACTAAAAAAAGGCATTGTTTAATTAACTGGCTATCAGATGTGAAATGCACCATCTATTTCAGGCACGCGCGAAGACACTACGGGCGTGGCGCTTCCGCGACTCCTCCCCTCCTCTTGCATCTCGTCCCCCCCTTCTCTTCCCCCCATCTCCCCTTTCCACACATCCAGAGCAATCAACGGACGCGAGCGGCGGCGACAGTCGATTCTGGCGTCCAACCTGCGTCGATTCGCGACCAAGGAGCTGCAGGCCGCCACCAACCGCTTCCTGCATTCCCTCTCCTCTTCCTGCTGCATTCTGCTCCCCGCTCCTCCCCTCTCCTCCCCTCCCAGAATCCACGGACGGAACCGGCGGCGAGCAGTCCATTCTATCGTCCAACCTCCTACGCTTCACATACAAAAATCTACAGGCCGCCACCAACCGCTTCCTCCATCCTCCCCTCCCTTTCCCCCCTGCATCCTCCCCCCTTCTCCCCCCTCCCCCCTCCTCCTTCCCGCTTTTCCCCCTTTCCGCCCTCCCAGAATCCACGGATGGGACCGGCGGAGAACAATCCATCCTAGCGTCCAACTTGCGTCGCTTCACGTACAAGGAGCTACAGGCCGCCACCAACCGGTTCCCCCCCCCCTCCCCTCTTGCTCCATTCTGCCCCCCGCCCCTCCCCGCTCCTCCCCGCTCCTTTCCCCTCCCAGAATCCACGGATGGGACGGGCGGAGAACAATCCATTTTAGCGTCCAACCTGCGGCGCTTCACGTACAAGGAGCTGCAGGCCGCCACCAACCGGTTCCGCGACGAGAGCGTGCTGGGCGCGGGCAGCTTCGGCAAGGTGTACCGCGGGGCCATGGAGGAGTGGATGGGGGAACTGCCCAAAGGGGAGAAGCGGCCGCTCGCCATCAAGATGCTGGATGAAGAGAGCTTTCAGGGCTTCGGCGAGTGGATGGTGAGAGGTGGAGGGGGATGTTGAGTGAATGGGTTTCCTGGCTCTACCCATGCATTACAGGCTGGCTTCTGGCCGTCAAGATGCTGGATAAGGAGAGCTTTCAAGGCTTCGGCGAGTGGATGGTGAGAGGATGGGGTTGGGGATGATGGGGTGGTTGAATGGTGAGTGAGGGAAGGGGGCGGATGGTGAGTGGATGGCGAGTGGGTGGGGAGAGGGACGATGAGTGGGAAAAAAGGGGATGGTGAGAATGGCAAGGGGGCGATGGTGGGTGGATGTTGAGTGGCTTCAGCCCTGTGCCCTTCTTTCCACTTCTCCTTCCCCCCCTCCCGCGCTCCTGTTCCCAGGCGGAGGTGCTGTCATCGGGGCACCTGCAGCACCCGAATCTAGTGCGCTTGCTGGGGCACAGCAAGAACAGAGACAAAGCTCCATGCCCCTCACTCCCGTCTCCCTCTTTCCCCTTTCCCCTCTCTCCCTCGCTCCCAGGCCGAGGTGCTTTTACTAGGGCGCCTGCAGCACCCCAATTTGGTGCGGCTGCTGGGGTACAGCACGGACAGGGACGAGGCAGTGCTGGTGTATGAGCTGCTGGAGAATGGCAGCCTCGACTCCTGGCTCTTCCCAGGTAACCCACTCTTCCTCACCTCCTGCCTCTTTCCAGGTACCCTCGCCCTCCTGCTGCTCTCTTCGCCTCTCCTATGCGCTCCTCCCATGTCCTCCTCTCTTCTCCTCTCCTCTCTTCTCCTTGTTTCTCCTGTCCGCTCCTATCCTATCCTATCCTCTCCTCTCCTTGCGTTACCAATACCGTATGCCTTCATAGTATTCCTTACCCCTCGTCACCATCCAGCCCTCTGACACAGCCCCCTTCCCCATTCCGCGCCAAACAACAGCAGGCGACCACACTGCCCACTCACGTGGGAGAAGCAGTGCAGGAAAAGGTATGCGCCCCACCAGGTTCAGTTCCCTCACCCCTCCTCCTTCACCCCTTTAATGACCTCCAGACGACCACACAGGCAAGTACAAGCACGGGCCGCTCACATGGGAGGAGCGGATGTTGATAACCCCATGTTCCTCACCATGCTCCCTCCCTCTTCCCCTGCTCTGCCCGCACCTTTCCCCAACTCCCACTCCGCTTTTCTCTCCAGACGACCACACGGGAGTGTACAAGCACCGCCCGCTCACGTGGGAGGAGCGTGTGCGGATAGCGCTGGACGCCACACAGGGCCTGGCGTATTTGCACTCAGAGAACGTGATTCACCGCGACTTCAAGTCCTGCAACGTGCTGCTCGATAAGGTGCGGTGTGGTGCGATGGGATGTGGTGGGATGGCATGGGCGGTGGTGTGGTGGGATGGTGTGGCTGGAGTCAGAGACTATTAGTGGTGCTTTTGTTAACAAAGCCGTCCTGGAATGTAGTGACCAAACTCCCCCCTCTCTCTTTCCCCCTCCCTCATGCCACCCTGCTGACCACGCGTGCACCACCCATGCTGGCATGGCAGGACTCATGGAAAGCTGACGGACTTTGGCGTGGCGACTGTGACGTGACGGTAGTCCTGGGGTGCCTCTTTCAACAGATTTGACCTAGAATGTCGTGACTCAATTCCGCTCCTCCCCCCTTCCTCCTGTCATCCTGCCCTCCACATGACACCCATGGCATGACACGGCAGGACATGCGGGCGAAGCTGACGGATTTTGGCATGGCGACCATGGGGCCGGAGTCAGGGCAGACACACATCTCCACGCGAGTCATGGGCACCATGGGGTACCTTGACCCCAAGTACCTCGAGACAGGTATGCTATACTGCATCAGATAAGCACTATGAGCAGCATGGGGTGCCTCGACCACGGATGGTACATCCATGCTCTTGAATGGTTTACTTCAACCTTCTCATCGGCCCGCTTTCCTCCTACACGCCTTCCTCCCCTTCACACGCCTTCCTCCCCTTCACACGCCTTTTTTCCCTCCTTGCTTCCACCGGGCCACCTCGCCCCCCCATTTTGTGCCACCTAGGCTCTCAGAGTGGTCTGCCCTGCCTACCCCTTACAACCCCCCCTTCCCCATACTCTCCCCCCTTCCCCCCCCGACCCCGTTCCCCCACCAGACCATCTCACCCCAAAGAGCTTCTCACTCATGCTGCTTTCCCCATGCGCCCCCCACTCCCGCACCCCCCCTCCTTCCCTCCCGTTCCTTGCCCCCACCAGGCCATCTCACCCCAAAGAGTGACATCTACGCTCTCGGAGTCGTTTACTTCGAACTCCTCACTGGCCGGCCTCCTTCGTCTGGAGGTGACAACGACGACTGCAAGCTGACGACATGGGTGCGCGCACACGTGGCACAGCGCCGCCCGAATCTCGAGGCAGTCATGGACGAGCGGCTAGAGGACAAATACTCGCGCGTGGGCGCGCAGAAACTGCTCGTTCTCGCCAAGCACTGTATCAACGAGGATCCGGCCGGGCGGCCGCAGATGGAGAATCTAATCAAGACTCTGCAGCAGCTGATGACACTGCCAGTTGGGGACGAGGGGAATGGTGCGGCGGGGGGGAGGGGAGGGGGAGGAGCGGGGGGAGAGCTAGGCACACCCACCCCACCAAGGACCCCCACTACACCCACTAGATAGGAAACGGCTTTTGAGGCGCCTCAAAAGAACGGTGCGGCGGGGTGAAGAGGAGAGGAGGGGGAAAGGTGGGGGGGGGGTGGGGGGGGAAACTAGGCGTACCCACTCCACCAAGGAGTCAAGGACCCCCACTACACCCACTAGGTAGGATAGCATCATAGGACACCCCACGGGTCCAAAGCATTGAGTCGTTGACGGTGGGTGTGAGTTCATACTACCGTATGCATGGTGATGATGGTGAGCGTGCACGTAAGCCCTTGGGCCAAAGTGAGGTCGCAATGGAGAAGAGATACGGCTGGGCTTGGATAGGTCCCAGGAGGGGTGAGTGAGAGGTTAGGCTTGGATACGTTGCAACGGCAGGGTGGTGAGGCAGACAGGCAATCTGCTCGGAAGTATGCATGGAAAGGATAGGCTGAATGTTCACAAGCTTAGGGAGATAGGGGTGTGGCGCGAGTGAGATTTGTGTAACTAGTACCAAGTTGTACCGTACTCTTGGCAAACTACGCACCTTTAGAAACTATGTAGTGCTTTGTGCAACATATTCCTAGTTATTGTATTCATATTCGATTATTTTATGCGTTGTGAGTACAACTCTATAACGAGGATAGGCAGACGTTCACGAACCTGAGCCTCAGAGATATCATCCCGCGCGTCTCCTGACAAATTTCACATACAGATTATCCTTTTCTACCATTACTCGTCGCATGCTCGCGGTCCGGGTCGCGTACTGGCGTTTCTGGTCGCATGCCGGCAGTCCCGGTAGTGTGGCCCACTTGCGTTAGATTTCTCGTCGCCAGTTCCTCAGCTCCCAGTCGTTTGTCTCGTCACCACCATTGCGACAATTCCGCTTCTCGCCTGTCGACTCGTCTCAGCCATTCTTTCTGTCGTCAGCCTCTATACCCAGTGATGACAGAAACCAACCATCCCAGTGATGTGCGCGGCTGCAACCAGTGACGTCACGGGTGCACCCAGTGACGTAATGTGCGTGTACTGCAAGCCGTAATGATCGCTTTCCGTCGATAGACTCTCGTCACTCTCGTCACTCGCGTTACAATCAGCTCTCACCCATAATGCGCCATGGCGCAGCTTCCTCACGACCCTTCTGCTGCTTTTCCCCCACTGCACCTCAACAGCTTCCCCCATCACCCCCCTTCTCTCCTTCAGTCGCTCCCCACGTCGCTCCCCCCGCACGCGCATCATCTTCCCCTCCCCCACTATCAGCTCCCCCATCTCCCCCCGCTCCCCATCCCCGCGCCTTTTCCGCCTCACTTTGCGCCCGCGGGGGAGCTTTTCCCCCACCCGCATGCGCACTTGGCGCATCTCCCCTTCCCCCACTACCCGTACATATCCCCCTTGCACCACGCGGGATATGCGGTCACGGCTCACGGCAATCTCGATGGAATTGTTGTCGGGCATTCCGGCGCGATTTCCGGCGGAATTTCCGGCACAATTTCCGGCGCGAGTCCCGCGCTTCACGGGAGAACGCCCCCGTTAACCCCGGCGCACGAGGCCCCTCGTCGGGACCCGCAATTTACACGCGGAAGCGGCGGCGGAAGCACGGAGAGCGCGAGGGGGGGACCCGGGGATAGCGCGCGCGCACGGAATGGCGGAGCAGCGGCGCTGCGCGATTCGGGGTATTTGGAGGGGGGGGGAGCAGAGCGTCGTGTGGGGGAGGGTAGGGGCGCGGGGGAACCGGGGAAACCGGGGGAAGAGAGAGAAACCGCGGACCAATCAGAGGAGAATGGTGAAGACGCGAGAGGAGGGTTCGAGTGTGACAATGGGGGGGAAGAGGAGGGGCAGGGGGTGGTGGGGGTGGAGCTTTTAGAGGGAGTGGAGGAGGGAGCAGGGGGAGAGGAAGAAAGGGAGGGGGAGGAAGAAGAGGGGGAGGGCCGAGAGTGTGGCACGAGAGAGGGACATGGCATTTCAGTGGCGGAAGGAGATATGGGGGCAGTGGGAGGTGATGAGATGGCGGCACAGGATGATGACGTTGCAGGGAGGGTCGCTGCTGCTGCTGCTGCTGGTGATGGTAATGGAAATTTTGTTGATGATGCCGATATTGTTTATAATGATGATACTGATAACGAGACTGATTATGGTGAGGATGATGATGAAATAACCGTGGAAGATCTTGGGATCGACGGGGAGGGGCATGGAATGGACGGCCCAGATGCAATCACGGGAGGGGAAGGGATGCGGGGGGTGACAGATGCTGATTTGGAGTATGCTGTGATACTGTACGGCCGCACTGAAGACGACCTTGGGAATGCCGCCGATCACCATGGGAATCACGAGCAGCAGCAGCAGCAAGAGCAGCAGCATGGAGGCATTAGTAATGAGGGACAGGAGCTTGAGCAAGAGCAATATCACCATCATCAGCAGCGCGAGCAGCATCGCATGCATGGTGATGCGGAGCAGCAGCATGTGCCGGACGGCCATCAGCACATGCCATCCCATGCCCATGCGCATACGCATGCACATGCCCATCATCGCATGGCTCATCCGCACATTGCCCCTGGCGTCCCGATTGCACCAGCACTACAGGAGCAAGAAGCGGAATGCAATGGTATCGGCAATGGTAGTGGCAATACTGAGGCAGGTGGTGTTGGGAGAGCAGGTGCTTCTGGTGCAGGTATTCTCACGGCAGGCCACAGCAGGGCATCCGTACAGGGCTTTCTGCCCCTGGCCCTGGATCAGCAGCTGCAGCAGCTGGCGCAGGCAGAGGGGGCGCAAGCAGTGGAAGCGGAAGCAGCGGGAGCGCAGACAAGAAGAGGCTTGGCGAGGCAGCACGACCAACAGCAGCATCGGCATCAGCATCAGCAGCATCAGCAGCATCAGCAGCAGCAGCAGCAGGAGAGGGGAGGGTTAAGTAGAGTGCAGGGGGGTAAGGAGGTGCATGTGGTTGCAGCAGGAGGAACAAGGCGGCTGCAAGTCGACATTGATGCTGCTGGTATGTATGCCGTGATGTGATGGGAGCAGGGTGCGGGCTCCATTGTAACGAGGTGACTTTTGAGTCGACTCAAAAGTCAACAAGGCGGCTGTAAGTCGACACGGATGCTGCTGGTATGCATGTCGTCATGTCATGCCATGGAGCATAGTGCGGGTTCACATTGATGCTGCTGGTACGTGTGTTGTCATGGGAATAGGGTGCAAGTCACCAAGAGCATGGGAGTACGAACAAACACTGCGGTAGATTGTATGGGTGTGGGAATGTGCTAAGACGCTACTAGCACACAAGCGGTCCAGCGTATGAGCGGGCGGTGCAGCGTATGAGCGGGCGGTGCAGCGTATGAGCGGGCGGTGCAGCGTATGAGCGGGCGGTGCAGCGTATGAGCGTGCGGTGCAGCGTATGAGCGGGCGGTGCAGCGTATGAGCGGGCGGTGCAGCGTATGAGCGGGCGGTGCAGCGTATGAGCGGGCGGTGCAGCGTATGAGCGGGCGGTGCAGCGTATGAGCGTGCGGTGCAGCGTATGAGCGGGCGGTGCAGCGTATCAGCGGGCGGTGCAACGTATGAGCGGGCGGTGCAGCGTATGAGCGGGCGGTGCAGCGTATGAGCGGGCGGTGCAGCGTATGAGCGGGCGGTGCAGCGTATGAGCGGGCGGTGCAGCGTATGAGCGGGCGGTGCAGCGTCTGAGCGGGCGGTGCAGCGTATGAGCGGGCGGTGCAGCGTATGAGCGGGCGGTGCAGCGTATGAGCGGGCGGTGCAGCGTATGAGCGGGCGGTGCAGCGTATGAGCGGGCGGTGCAGCGTATGAGCGGGCGGTGCAGCGTATGAGCGGGCGGTGTAGCGTATGAGCGGGCGGTGCAGCGTATGAGCGGGCGGTGCAGCGTATGAGCGGGCGGTAAAGCGTATGAGCGTGCGGTGCAGCGTATGAGCGGGCGGTGCAGCGTATGAGCGGGCGGTGCAGCGTATGAGCGTGCGGTGCAGCGTATGAGCGGGCGGTGCAGCGTATGAGCGGGCGGTGCAGCGTATGAGCGGGCGGTGCAGCGTATGAGCGTGCGGTGCAGCGTATGAGCGGGCGGTGCAGCGTATGAGCGGGCGGTGCAGCGTATGAGCGGGCGGTGCAGCGTATGAGCGGGCGGTGCAGCGTATGAGCGGGCGGTGCAGCGTATGAGCGGGCGGTGCAGCGTATGAGCGGGCGGTGCAGCGTATGAGCGGGCGGTGCAGCGTATGAGCGGCGGTGCAGCGTATGAGCGGGCGGTGGAGCGTATGAGCGGGCGGTGCAGCGTATGAGCGGGCGGTGCAGCGTATGAGCGGGCGGTGCAGCGTATCAGCGGGCGGTGCAGCGTATGAGCGGGCGGTGCAGCGTATGAGCGGGCGGTGCAGCGTATGAGCGTGCGGTGCAGCGTATGAGCGGGCGGTGCAGCGTATGAGCGGGCGGTGCAGCGTATGAGCGGGCGGTGCAGCGTATGAGCGTGCGGTGCAGCGTATGAGCGGGCGGTGCAGCGTATGAGCGGGCGGTGCAGCGTATGAGCGGGCGGTGCAGCGTATGAGCGGGCGGTGCAGCGTATGAGCGGGCGGTGCAGTGTATGAGCGGGCGGTGCAGCGTATGAGCGTGCTGTGCAGCGTATGAGCGTGCGGTGCAGTGCGGTGCAGTGTATGAGCGGGCGGTGCCGCGTATGAGCGTGCGGTGCAGCGTATGAGCGGGCGGTGCAGCGAATGAGCGGGCGGTGCAGCGTATGAACGTGCGGTGCAGCGTATGAGCGGGCGGTGCAACGGTTGAGCGGGCGGTGCAGCGTATGAGCGGGCGGTGCAGCGTATGAGCGGGCGGTGCAGCGTATGAGCGGGCGGTGCAGCGTATGAGCGGGCGGTGCAGCGTATGAGCGGGCGGTGTAGCGTATGAGCGGGCGGTGCAGCGTATGAGCGGGCGGTGCAGCGTATGAGCGGGCGGTGCAGCGTATGAGCGTGCGGTGCAGCGTATGAGCGGGCGGTGCAGCGTATGAGCGGGCGGTGCAGCGTATGAGCGTGCGGTGCAGCGTATGAGCGGGCGATGCAGCGTATGAGCGGGCGGTGCAGCGTATGAGCGGGCGGTGCAGCGTATGAGCGGGCGGTGCAGCGTATGAGCGTGCGGTGCAGCGTATGAGCGGGCGGTGCAGCGTATGAGCGGGCGGTGCAGCGTATGAGCGTGCGGTGCAGCGTATGAGCGGGCGGTGCAGCGTATCAGCGGGCGGTGCAACGTATGAGCGGGCGGTGCAGCGTATGAGCGGGCGGTGCAGCGTATGAGCGGGCGGTGCAGCGTATGAGCGGGCGGTGCAGCGTATGAGCGGGCGGTGCAGCGTATGAGCGGGCGGTGCAGCGTATGAGCGGGCGGTGCAGCGTATGAGCGGGCGGTGCAGCGTATGAGCGGGCGGTGCAGCGTATGAGCGGGCGGTGCAGCGTATGAGCGGGCGGTGCAGCGTATGAGCGGGCGGTGCAGCGTATGAGCGGGCGGTGCAGCGTATGAGCGGGCGGTGTAGCGTATGAGCGGGCGGTGCAGCGTATGAGCGGGCGGTGCAGCGTATGAGCGGGCGGTAAAGCGTATGAGCGTGCGGTGCAGCGTATGAGCGGGCGGTGCAGCGTATGAGCGGGCGGTGCAGCGTATGAGCGTGCGGTGCAGCGTATGAGCGGGCGGTGCAGCGTATGAGCGGGCGGTGCAGCGTATGAGCGGGCGGTGCAGCGTATGAGCGTGCGGTGCAGCGTATGAGCGGGCGGTGCAGCGTATGAGCGGGCGGTGCAGCGTATGAGCGGGCGGTGCAGCGTATGAGCGGGCGGTGCAGCGTATGAGCGGGCGGTGCAGCGTATGAGCGGGCGGTGCAGCGTATGAGCGGGCGGTGCAGCGTATGAGCGGGCGGTGCAGCGTATGAGCGGGCGGTGCAGCGTATGAGCGGGCGGTGGAGCGTATGAGCGGGCGGTGCAGCGTATGAGCGGGCGGTGCAGCGTATGAGCGGGCGGTGCAGCGTATCAGCGGGCGGTGCAGCGTATGAGCGGGCGGTGCAGCGTATGAGCGTGCGGTGCAGCGTATGAGCGGGCGGTGCAGCGTATGAGCGGGCGGTGCAGCGTATGAGCGTGCGGTGCAGCGTATGAGCGGGCGATGCAGCGTATGAGCGGGCGGTGCAGCGTATGAGCGGGCGGTGCAGCGTATGAGCGGGCGGTGCAGCGTATGAGCGGCGGTGCAGCGTATGAGCGGGCGGTGCAGCGTATGAGCGGGCGGTGCAGCGTATGAGCGGGCGGTGCAGCGTATGAGCGGGCGGTGCAGCGTATGAGCGTGCGGTGCAGCGTATGAGCGGGCGGTGCAGCGTATGAGCGGGCGGTGCAGCGTATGAGCGTGCGGTGCAGCGTATGAGCGGGCGGTGCAGCGTATGAGCGGGCGGTGCAGCGTATGAGCGGGCGGTGCAGCGTATGAGCGTGCGGTGCAGCGTATGAGCGGGCGGTGCAGCGTATGAGCGGGCGGTGCAGCGTATGAGCGGGCGGTGCAGCGTATGAGCGGGCGGTGCAGCGTATGAGCGTGCGGTGCAGCGTATGAGCGGGCGGTGCAGCGTATGAGCGGGCGGTGCAGCGTATGAGCGGGCGGTGCAGCGTATGAGCGTGCGGTGCAGCGTATGAGCGGGCGGTGCAGCGTATGAGCGGGCGGTGCAGCGTATGAGCGGGCGGTGCAGCGTATGAGCGGGCGGTGCAGCGTATGAGCGGGCGGTGCAGTGTATGAGCGGGCGGTGCAGCGTATGAGCGTGCTGTGCAGCGTATGAGCGTGCGGTGCAGTGCGGTGCAGTGTATGAGCGGGCGGTGCCGCGTATGAGCGTGCGGTGCAGCGTATGAGCGGGCGGTGCAGCGAATGAGCGGGCGGTGCAGCGTATGAACGTGCGGTGCAGCGTATGAGCGGGCGGTGCAACGGTTGAGCGGGCGGTGCAGCGTATGAGCGGGCGGTGCAGCGTATGAGCGGGCGGTGCAGCGTATGAGCGGGCGGTGCAGCGTATGAGCGGGCGGTGCAGCGTATGAGCGGGCGGTGTAGCGTATGAGCGGGCGGTGCAGCGTATGAGCGGGCGGTGCAGCGTATGAGCGGGCGGTGCAGCGTATGAGCGTGCGGTGCAGCGTATGAGCGGGCGGTGCAGCGTATGAGCGGGCGGTGCAGCGTATGAGCGTGCGGTGCAGCGTATGAGCGGGCGGTGCAGCGTATGAGCGGGCGGTGCAGCGTATGAGCGGGCGGTGCAGCGTATGAGCGTGCGGTGCAGCGTATGAGCGGGCGGTGCAGCGTATGAGCGGGCGGTGCAGCGTATGAGCGGGCGGTGCAGCGTATGAGCGGGCGGTGCAGCGTATGAGCGGGCGGTGCAGCGTATGAGCGGGCGGTGCAGCGTATGAGCGGGCGGTGCAGCGTATGAGCGGGCGGTGCAGCGTATGAGCGGGCGGTGCAGCGTATGAGCGGGCGGTGGAGCGTATGAGCGGGCGGTGCAGCGTATGAGCGGGCGGTGCAGCGTATGAGCGGGCGGTGCAGCGTATCAGCGGGCGGTGCAGCGTATGAGCGGGCGGTGCAGCGTATGAGCGTGCGGTGCAGCGTATGAGCGGGCGGTGCAGCGTATGAGCGGGCGGTGCAGCGTATGAGCGTGCGGTGCAGCGTATGAGCGGGCGATGCAGCGTATGAGCGGGCGGTGCAGCGTATGAGCGGGCGGTGCAGCGTATGAGCGGGCGGTGCAGCGTATGAGCGTGCGGTGCAGCGTATGAGCGGGCGGTGCAGCGTATGAGCGGGCGGTGCAGCGTATGAGCGGGCGGTGCAGCGTATGAGCGTGCGGTGCAGCGTATGAGCGGGCGGTGCAGCGTATGAGCGGGCGGTGCAGCGTATGAGCGGGCGGTGCAGCGTATGAGCGGGCGGTGCAGCGTATGAGCGGGCGGTGCAGCGTATGAGCGGGCGGTGCAGCGTATGAGCGTGCGGTGCAGCGTATGAGCGGACGGTGCAGCGTATGAGCGGGCGGTGCAGCGTATGAGCGGGCGGTGCAGCGTATG